TGCGGAAAAATGAAGGGTTCTTCACTTTCAGTATTTTGACGAGAGCCTGATTCCACCACGCTGCCTCACATTTGTATGTAAGTGTCACCATACCGTAGAATCAGGCGCTCGTCAGGTTCGGGGGCATTGTATGGAGTTACTGACAATATCACCTTAAAGCCTGCTCATTTGTCTTGTTGGGGAAAAAAACAACCAACAAATTTTAATACTCATCTATCTTGAAAAGTATTCATAATGTTTGCTACTTAATGAAGGGAGGGGTCCGCCCTGTTTCAGAAAACAGCCGCCAAACTGTGGTGACCTCCAAAGCCTGAGAATCCTGTGAAACTGTAAATTTACATTTTTGAGGCTTTTAAAAATGTCTTTCAGGAAAAAAAATTTACACAGAAATGTGTCTTCAAATAGATATACAAGATGTTGAGCCCCCCAAAAAGGAAATCAATTTTTTTTTAATTGCCCAATGGGCAGAAAAATTAAGTCGATTTCTCCAATTTCGTTATTTTGACGAGGGCCTGGTTTCGCAACGATGCAGTGAATAGTATTATTATTATAATATTATAATGACGAGCCCGTAGACGAAGACATGCGGGTTCTCTTTTGTCAACGGGGTGGTAGATACTCCACGGGAGATGTTGGGACCCACGTTGATCGGTCACAAATTGGGACAGCCCCCCATTCCGGGGCAGTGGCACTGACTGAAGTGTCTTTAGGCCATTCCCAAAGGGGGGACATTTCTCGTTCAAGCACAATAGAATTGTAAATGGGCTGACTCATGTCACGCTCTTAACTGTGCCTGATCTACAACAGGGAACTGCTGCTTTTTCTTTCCTGATCTTATTTTCATTTTCCTCTACTTTTTTTGTATGTTTGTCACTCTCTTGTGATCTGCTATTTTGGGATGCCTTCATAGTCGAAGCAGACCTTGTGCTGTTGAAGCTAGAGAGGTGAGCAGAGTAAGTCTGATTCCCTGTAAAAACTTCTCTGTTGACATCCACCCCTTGGCGCTCATATGACCTTGTGCAGTTGTGAGTGCTGTAAAACCCTCTACCATAAAAAAACAGGGACAGCATTTCTGTCAGAGGCGGGGCGCCATTGATGCAATTGTGCAAGCGCTCTACTGAACCCTGGCCTTCACCCCTACCCCCCCCACCTCTTTTTCTAATTGTTCTAAACCAGTCAGTGCTCTAGATCATTAGGCCTACTAGATCTAGGCCTACATTCTTGCCATCCGTCACCCGCTGACTGCTCCGGTGATTTCTGTTGGAGTAACTGAAGGTTGTTGCCCACGATCAGTTGAAATACCGGTGACCCAGAAATCGTGCCATAGAGTATAAAAAGGGTAAGTGATGCCGTCACGAAAATATAATGTTATAAAAGTGGCGCGGAAGTAAAGTGCCAAACAGAAGGCACTAGGACTGAATCACAGACAGTAAGTAGACACAAGCCAACGAGTAACGACGCAGAGTTATACGAGGTGGCTGAATTGTCGTGTTACAATGTCGCTATTTGTTTCAGAGAGTTGACGCTTCCAGACAGAATCAAAGCCCAGACTGCAACCCAGTGAACGTGTAAGTTGTATTAGTTACACGTTTATAGTTTGACACAGAGTCAGAGGGTGTATGCGTTGCTTTTTGGTATTATGTTTACTTTGAGACACAGAGCGTGTGTGAGTCGTCTTGGGTTCACAATGACTTTTTCACTCAAAGAGTTTGTGGTTCGTCTTTGATGAATGTGTATGGTTTATTTGACACAGAGATCCTGTGGGTTGCTGTAATGATAGGTATCTTCGTTTGTCACGGACAGTCGCGGGTAGCTTTAAAGTTTGATAGTAAATGATAGTGGTGGTTTTTCAGTTGAACTTCTCTGGTAAATTATAGCGTTGTTCGTGGATTGTGTGTCCTGCGACTGAACGACAGACAGACTCGGCTGAATTTGGAGCGCACAACTCTTGGATTTTGGGACGGCGGATCAGGTTCTAGTTGTTTTGTTGGTTTTTGTTTGGGTTGTTGATTATTTTTGTTACAGGGGCTCTGTGAGTTGTCTAAGATGAACGTCATTTTGTTTTTGTAAGTGTTTTACGGCGCTCGTAACTGCATTAGATCATATGAGCGCGCGGGACATTCGGTTGGTCATTTCAGTTGGTAGGGAATTTTGAATTTTGCCCTATTGCGGGCGAAGCCTACTCTTTTCGATTTTGAACCACCAAGTGATCTTTAACGTGCGCAACTTGCCAACCGGACTTCGAAGTTTTTCGCCCTTGTCCGCTAAAGATAGGTGTAGATCTTTGCTACCAGAACATCAAGGGTGTAGCTGAAAGACAGCAGTAAGAAGGAGCCAAGGAGTAGCAGTAGAAAGGCTGCAGAAAGAGTCAGGAGCCCAGAGGAAGGGGCAAAGGAGGTGAGGGGGTGGGGGCAGAAAGTGGAGGCGAAAGCAGATGACAGAATAAATTGTTAAAGAGTGAGGAAAAGATATGACAGGCATAGATGTTAGAGAAGAAAATCACTTCGTCGTTATCCGGATTCGAATCCGGGACCTATTGATTGAGAGACGAACACCTTAACATCTAGGCCACGAGAGTCCCCGAAACGAATTTTCCTCACTTCAACCAGGTGAGAATGGGTACCCGGCTATAGACAGTGAAAGATCTTGTCAGTTTGTTAGTGTTTGAGAGCTTAACTAGCTGCTTGCACTGTATGCTTCCCGGGAAGCTGAGAATGTTTCTGAGTGTTCTATGGTCTGCTGGGGTAATAATATAGTGTAAGGCGCATAGAGCTTGTTTTCGAGTGGGGATATGAGCTATACAAATGCTATTTATTATTATTTGTTTATTATTTTGTTTGAAACAGACAGACTGTTTTTTGGTTTAGATATTCAGTAACTATGTAACCTAGAGAGACTCTTTTGGGGGCAGATATCCAGTAACTGTTTGTCGCAAAGAGAATGTGGTTTGGTCTAAGTAAACTTGTACTGTTTGAAACAAAAATATTCTTTGTTTGTGCAGATACCCAGTACCTATTTGACGCAGAGAGAGAGAGAGAGAGAGAGAGAGAGAGAGAGAGAGAGAGAGAGAGAGAGAGAGAGAGAAAGAGAGAGAGAGAGATTATATGTGTGTGTGGGGGGGGGGATTGATGCAGATATCCAACAACTTTAAGACTCAGAGTTGACGTTTGACAGTTTGCTATATGTTTGTTTAAAGTTCGCGTGTACTTTTAGACTCGGAGAGCTTGTTGGTTGGTTAAGTTTGTTTGTTTTGTTGTTGTTGTTTTTATACGGATTTTCTAAGTGGTGATGCAGCATGCACAATCTGGTTTTGTCCCCAAGAGCAGCTTTTACCTGCAAAGTATACGTTGCCTTTTACCAATTTAGGCCTGGTTAAAGTTCAATAGTGGCTTTCCTTGGTCTGTGAGTCTAATTTCGTTTTTAATTATTATTTTAGGCTTTGAGAGGCCAAATTTTAGCCCTTCAGTTTGCAAATTTTCTTCAGCTTCTGCGGCCCCCAGTTTATAACTTAACACATCAGAAACAAGTCTGAAAAAGTTAATTAATAAATATATCGCCTGTGCTGTCTGTTGCTCTCGTAATCACAAACACACTGGGGTAAAAATAGGTTTAGCTGGTCTGACGTCGGTGAACGTGGATCTTTTTGTGTCGGTTCTACACCATGCAAAAACTTCGTACATTAACCTGGCCTGGATGTGATCCTATTTTGGTGGACGCGTAGACTTAGACACTTGTTCAAGAAAACCTGGAGCCTCTTTATGCAAGTCTGTGATGCGTTCCATGTCTTACATCTATACTGCAGGACTGGATTCATATTTGAATTGAACATCCCCAGCTTTGTTTGAAGTGAGATATCTCTGGTTTTCCAAATCCTGTTCAAACATATGAAAGCTGGCTGTGCTTTTCCAATGTGGGACTTTATTTCAGCATCTGTTCTCCCTCTCTGTCAATTAGACTCCCAAGATAGCAGAAGGATTTGACGTCTTCTAGTGCATTCCCCTCTACTGTGACCTGCTCCTTTCGTTGTGAATCTGTCCTTAGGACCTTTGACTTTCCGGGGTAGATCCTCAATCTAACAGACTCCGATAGGCTGTTTAATACTGAAGTCTTTGCTTGAATCTGTAACTGGGTGTGCGACAGAAATGCCAAGTCGTCTGCAAAATCCAAATCGTCCAACTGTGTCTATGGTGTCCACTGTATACCGTTTTTGTGTCTTCTTGCGGTTTCCTTCAACGGCCAATCGACTGCCAATATGAAGAGGAAAGATGATGGTAAACATCCTTGTCTGACATCAGTCTTGATATAAAACCTGTCAGTGAGCTGGCCATCATGTACAATCCTGCAACTTGTCCTTTTGTACATGCTCTTGATGAGGTTCCCCAACTTCTGTGGGATTTCGTGATGTCTCATTATCTTCCCCAGTGTTGCTCGGTCTATACTGTCAAAAGCTTTCTCATAGTCAAAGAAGTTGACGATCAGCTGGGAGTCCCACTCCAGGGACTGTTCCACAATGCTCCTCAGCGTGGCTATCTGGTCGGCGGTTGAGCGTATCATGACAGACATAAATTGATGTGCAGCGCACCATGACAAAAATTAGTCTGCAGTGCCGCATGATACAAATTAATCTGCAGCGTACCGTGACACAAATCAAATTAATTAATCCGCAGCGAGCCATAACACAAATTAATCTGCAGTGCCCCATGACACAAATTTATTAATCCACAACACACCATTACACAAAATTAATTAATCTGCAGCGCGCCATGACAAACATTAATTCACGTGACACGACACAAAATAATTAACGTGACCTGACACAAACAGTTTACTCTGCAGCGCACCATGACACAAACTATTTAATATGCAGCACGCCGTGACACAAATTAATTAAGGTGACTTGACACAAATGAGTTAGCGTGACATGACACAAATTACTTCACGTGACATGACACAAATTACTTCACGTGACATGAGACAAATGAATCAATCTGCAGCGCGCCATGGACTCGAGCAAGTTCCGAGAGACGAGCCATGAGGCCATCGATTACGTCATCAGCTACCTGGAAAGTCTGAGGTCCCGGAAGCCCAGGACTGACGTCACGCCGGGCTACATGAGTCAGCTGGTGCAGGACCAGGCGCCAGACGAGGGCGAGAGCTGGGACAAGGTCAAGGATGACCTAGATCAGGTCATAATGCCTGGTGTGAGTTGATGGAGCTCGTTGTAGAGTAGTGTTGTTGTTGTTGTAGAGTAGTGTAGTAGTTGTTGTTGTTGTTGCTGTTGGTGTTGCTGTTGGTGGTGGGGGTGGTGGTGGTAGTGTTGTTGTTGTTGTTGTTGTTGTTGTTGTTGTTGTTGTTGTTGTTGTTGTTGTTGTTGTTGTTGTTGTTGTTGTTGTGGTGGTGGTGGTGGTGGTGTTGTTGTTTTTTGTTGTTGCTGTTGCTGCTGTTTGTTGTTGTTGTTGTTGTTACTGCTGCTGCTCTTTGGTGTTGTTGTTGTTGTTGTTGTTGTTGTAGTTGTTGCTGTTGTTGTTGTTGCTGCTGTTGCTCTTTGTTGTTGTTGTTGTTGTTGTTGTTGTTGTTGTTGTCTCATCGCAAAGGTCTCGACTCCTTTTCGAGATGAGCTGCAAGACAAAAGAACAGATTTTAAAATGATATTACAATGATCATGAACGCCATATGTCCAGAAACTGACGAGTCCCTGACTCCATCGGGGTCGCGGCCCATTTATTTAATTTTTAGAATATATTTATTTATTTATTTATTTATTTATTTATTTATTTATTTATTTATTTATTCATTTATTTATTTATTTATTTATTCTTTTATTCATTTATTTATTTTTGTTTGTTTATTTATTTGTTTATTTATTTATTTATTTGTTTATTCATTTATTTATTCATTCATTCATTTATTCATTTATTCATTCATAACCTTCATTCCTTCATATTTTTTTTCTCTTTCAATGTATTTATTTGCCTATTTATATATATATATATATATATATATATATATATATATATATATATATATATATATATATATATATATATATATATATATGTTTATTTATTTATTTATTTATTAAAAAGAAATGTTAACCCTTTGTCTCTCGCCAGATGACTCACTGGCAGTCCCCCCAGTTCCACTCGTTCGTGCCGTACCGCAGCACCTACCCCGCCATCATTGGGACCATTCTCGCCGCCGGCTTTGGGACTCTGGGCTTCACCTGGGTGAGTGGCCAGATTTGTCGGGAGGTTTAGTTGTTATACTTTACAGAAATAAATATACTAGAAATTTATTTTTTGGGGGGTTTAAGTAGAGGTTTTACGGCGCTCGCAACTACATAAGGTCATATGAGCGCCAGAAGATTATATATATTTTTTTAGTAGAGGGTTTAACGGCGCTCGCGACTGCATACGTTCACCTGAGCGCCAAAGAAGATTAGAGGTGTTACAAGAGAGCAACAAACATGAAAAAGAAGTAGGGGAGATAGGGACGACAGATGTTTGATAGGACAGATGGAGCAAACCACACCAGACCACCCGCCAACCACCCACTATAAATGTTTGTCATCGGGAGGAAACGTACAAGCTTGCTCTGAAATATTGGGATATGAGGGGGGGGGGGGGAGACAACATGGTGTTTAAGTTGGGTTGGGTTTTTTTTACTAGAGATCAAACAAGTCCAAAAGATTAAATATCTTGGATATACGAAAACATGTAATGCCAAATGTTCCACTGAAATAAAACGGGGAATTACAGGGGGTTCTCGTGGCCTAGAGGTTAAGGTGTTAGCCTCTCGTTCAAAGGTCTCCGGTTCGAATCCGGGTAGTGACCGAAATATTTTCTTCTCTAAATTTGTCTCCCTTCACCTCCTTTCCTGCTCTCTAGCATTGTTCTGTCGTCTGCTTTCTTCTCCTCTTTCTGCCCCCACCCCCTCATCTCCTTTGTCCCCCTCCTCTGGGCTCCTGATTCTTTCCACAGCCTTTCTCCTGCTACTTCTTAACTCCGTCTTACTGCTGTCTTTCAGCCACACCCCTGATCTTCTGGTAGGAAAGATCTACACCAAGCCTTCTCGGCGACAAGGGCGAAAAATCTCTGAGGGCCCGTGTGCAAGTTCCGCACGCTAAAGATCCCTTGGTGGTCTAAAATCGATAAGAGCAGGCTTCGGCCGCCACCTGGGCAAAATTCAAAATTTCCTACCAACTGAAAAAGTTTAATGTGTCCCGCGCGCTCATATGACCTTATGCAGTTGCGAGCGCCGTAAAACACTTACAAAAACACAGGAGAATTACAATGGCCAAGGCTAATTTCAATAAACTGAGCCCAATTCTGAATAATAGAAACATCTCAATGACCACCAAAATGAAAATTCTGAAATGCTGTGTTTGGTCAACAATTCTATATGGCTATGAATGCTGGACAATCACGAAAGACTGAAAATAAAATAAAAGCAACAGAAATGTTGTTTCTTAGAAGACTGCTAAGAGTATCGTGGAAGGAAAAGAAATCAAACGTGGTATTGCTTGATGAAGCCCGCGTGGGACGGTCAATGTTAAAAACAATCAGGAAACAACAAATGCAGTTTTTGGGACACCTGAATAGACATAAGGGTCTTGAACATCTAGCTCTCACTGGCAAAATTGAGGGCAAGCGAGGCAGGGGTAGGCTCAGAACAATTTATTTGGGGAGCCTAAACAAATGGGTAACAGGGAAAGATCAGGGAAACGTAGGTTTTTTTAGAGCATCCGAACAATAAATAAATGGAGAACCACGATTGCCGATGTCAGTCGAAGATCTGGCACTGGATGATGATGATTCTAGTGCTCGTGTGGAG